CTGACCTTTTTACTATTAATATATTTGAAGAATTTTGGGGGGGGGTCCCACTCTCTTTTGCAATCTGACTTTTGTTTTGAATTTTTGCTGTATTTATTTCCTTTTTACATATTCTGTCATGCTCTTTGTAACATTTAAATGATGATAGTGTTCTTTGTTTTGTGTATTTTTTTAAAAGCGCTTTTCTTATTGTTTATAGCTTTATTAACTTTAGCTGTGAGTCACATATTTTTTTTAGGCTTTTAAACTAATTACCAATGGGAATGTATTTTGCAGTGTATTCGTATACAGTCATTTCGAGGAATTCCCATTTCTGTTCTGTGTTCTTTGATGCCAATATTCCTTCCCAGTGTAAGTCTTCAAGAGCAGCCTTGGAAAATTTGCAAGCTTAAAGTTGAGTGTTTTTATCTTTCCCGTATGTGCTTGTTGTTTACAGCTAGCATTAAATGAAATTGTGTTATGGTCAGTACTACCCAGATGTTCTTTTACTGAACATGAGTAATAAGATCTGCATGGTTTGAGATAACCAGGTCCAGCAGAGCATCATTTCTAGTTGGCCCCTCTGTGAGCTGTACCATAAAATTGTCTTGTAATAGGTTTACAAATTTTTGCCCTTTTTAACCGTTCCAGCAATGCCATTACTCCAGTCAATTAGTAGTTAAAATCCTTCATTATCATCACTATCCCAACAGTTGCAGCCCTTTCTATCTGTGCAAGAAGCTGAGTCTCCACTTCCTCATTAACACTGGGTGGCCTATATTAGACACCAATGATTAACTTTGAAGTAAATGCACCCATATGCAGTTCCACTCATAATGCTTCAGCCTCATCACACTCTCTTTCCCACATACTTTGAGATCACTTCTCACATAGAGACAGACACCACAACCTTTATGTTTTATCCTGTCTCTCCACAAAAAAGCATAGCCAGGAATACTAACAGCCCAATCATGCCATTTGCATTTGTTTATTATTTACAAAGTCATAGATCATAAAACAAAGTCATAGATCTTCTCTTCGCACTATGGAATAAAGAATAATTAATGTATTTACCTAAATCAGTTTTAACCTTTTTAACAGCACATTGGGATTCTTTGGAATAAAGTGATGGGGCACCAATAGTTTTGGACACAACTGTAATTATCAAAGCAAAAGTGACCCCCAACATCTAAAATGCAAAGAAAAGTAAATCAGGGTTAGCCTGCAACATTTAGACTTTTCTATAAGGAAAGTAGAAGCAGAAAGAGCTAGTAGCAGTTAAAAAGCCTTGGTGGTGATCTAGACAGGTCAATCTACAGATAAATGATCAGCTGGGATTCAGAGAGTAATGGAAAAGGCATGTGGCAGGACTAAACTGGAAAATGGATTGCAGAATTATTGGTCATATGCAAGAGCTTATAGCTAACATGAATCTGTGTTGATTGTGAGAAGCATTAAAAAGAACTAGTCAGGAATGGACATTTGTAAGAATCTCTACTTTTAAAATATATGTAAACCTTAAAATAATTACATTTAGTGTGCTAAACTTCTGTGTATCCTAAACCGTTGCCATTTACAAAAAAAATAATAAAAATGAAAAAAACCCACTTGTTTCCACCTTGATCTCTTGCAGCCTCTTTGCCATCATTCTTGTCTACATGCAGGCACTCCAGCAATAATCGCACATCATTTCTCACGGTGGATTCCCTGATGGGGACAACAACAGTGAAACATGCCTGTGCATAGGCAGGGCCACTTGTGGTCTTCATTGGCAGAACATGTGACAAGATGCCAACACAGATGTACAGTTGGGAGACAAGGACAGAAAGCTGTCAGACTATAGCTGGTAGTGCCTGAGCAAGGATATTTATGGCAGGATTATATGGTACTATTTTAATGAAAGCTGCAGATTAAAAATATTGAAAATTACTTTTGTCATTACTTTAACATGTTGATGCATATATTAGATTTTAGTAATGAGGTTCAAGTTGTATTACCAATCCTGCCATGCCACTCACAATTCCGGCGGCAACTCACTTAGGCTCCGACAGGAAGAATGCAAGTTCATAAAATATAAAAAAAGTAATTTGAGAAGTAGGGCTGCACAACATTTCAATAGTATAAACAATTCAATAATATAAATTATTACAGATTATTACAAATGCACACTGATGACTGCATCCATTTAACATTTGTGCATAGCAGAAGATCAAAAATGTGCAAAGATTAGCCTTACAAAAATGATCACATGCATCACATCATATCCAAATTCACACTTTTTGTCAAAGGGTGCAAAGAGTTTTCAAATTTATCAACTATGGACCAGGGTCCTACATCGTTAAGCAGCAGAGCATGGATTACCCTCTTTCAAAGCAAATCCAAACTCAATTATGCCACTTCAACCACACTAATTAGTTGCTTTGGGTTACCTCACATATTGTTAAATGAGAGCACCCTATTGAACTGTTGGTTGTTCAGCGCTTTGCTAAATAAAGATATTTATATTCCTAGATTGTAAGCTGCGAGAAGCAGGGCCCTCCTATCCCTCTTGTATTGAACTGTACTGTTGCTGTATTGTCTCCCGTTATATTGTAAAGCCCTGAGCAAACTGTTGGCGCTATATAAATCCTCTATAATAATAATAATAATATTTGCATTTACATGATACCTATACATACATTATTCCTACATTACCTACACAAAAAAGTCAGAAGACTTTGAATGTGGAGCGAGTCTAGCAGAGCTGCTTCTTAAAGTTTTTTTTTTTTTTTTTTTTTTTTTTTTTTTTTTTCATTTTGGATACAGTAAGGGATGGAAAAAAACTGTTAGTTTATTTTGCCATCTGATTTCCATTTCAGCTCCATGGACAAAACACAATAGGAAATCCCTCCAAAGTTAGGGAATCCTTGGGTGTCACCAGGGTCACAGAACTAGTATCCCCATTGGAAGAGTCTCCCTCTATTACTGTTCTGGTGTCAACCTAAAATCTGAAATTTCCTTTTTCTTTCACTTTGAAAGTTAACGGTAAACAGGACAAATATAGAGTGTGAATCTTCCTAACAGGGGCACAGACAGAATTGAAAGCTGACAGGTGTTCTAATCCATCTCCACTATATCCAAAGCTAAAAAACATTTGCCTTTAAAGGATAAGTTCACCTTTCGTAACATGTTACATTACACCCATATAACCTGTAACATGTATCAAACAGACCAACCCCCACTCCCTGTTGTGACAGCTAGCGGGGGGGGGGATCTTCTTCTCCCTACTAGGTGGCACAATGTTTTAAAAATGTGCGGGGCTCCACCTGCCCGGCATTGCCATTCATTCACCAGGGGTTCTGTGAATAAATTATCTAGTCCCAACAGCCTTTGTGGCTTGTAGTTCTCCATGCAATACCATGGCGCTGTGGAGTGCCGTGGTAGTTTATTGATTTTTTTTCTGTCAGTATACCCCATACGGGCAAGTATCTGCATGAAACCTGCATAGCACCAGCAATCTGCAAAAAAATTTGCATTTATAATTTTTTGTAAAAAGGTGAATTTATCTTTTAATGGAAGAGGGGTTATTAAAGCATATTTATGGTCACAATTTAAAATTATTATATTCATTTTCCCATGTAATTTCAGTTATTTCTAGCCTACTCCTATTAATCTGAATGGTCTTGAAGTTTGTAAACTTACTTTGTGAAGAATCCCCACATTTACTACCTTGAATTCTGCAATACATATTCACTATATCCTGTATTCACACTACTGAAAAGCACTGCTGTGTCGCAGAATTCCCAGAGCCTGTCTTTTGAATTACAGATGTGCTGAGAGTAGGAGTTTCAGGAGGCAGAGTCAGTACTTAATTAAAAAGTTATCGCCAGATAAGCAGGCCCAAAGTGATGTAAAAATTGGTCTGGTCTATAAAGGGTATATAGGAACGAGAATTGATGTGATTAAAGGATATCTAAACTAAAGAACCAAAAATGTTAACTAGTAGTAAAGCCTAACTCAGATTATTCTTAAAAATGTTCCCTCCCCCTCCTTATTCCAATTCTGCATACCCTGTATAAAAATCATGTGCGTATCTACCTATTTCTAATCCAGTTTGGTCATATGGTCCAGCAGCTCTGGGTTCAGAGAGCGGCTGCTGCAGGGCAATAGAGAGAAAGCCGATAATGGCTGGGCTATGGGAGCCTATGGATGATGTCATGGCTCTGGGAATTCACTGCTGTCCCTGCTGAACCGGCCAAGATTCAAACCGTCTATGGCTGCCTTTAGACAGGGGAGCCGCAGCTGCTAAATCACGTGACCATACTAGACTGGATTATGAAAAGGTAAGTACACATATATTTTTATTCAGGGTGTATAGGATAGGTAAGAGTGGGGATGGTCATTTTTAAGAATAGTCAGAGTAAGGCTTTATTACCACTTTACATATTTCGTTTGGATATCCTTTAACCACTTTGGCTTTTGTAACATTGTACCCTTTATGGATCTGAGAAATGTTTACATGACCATATGCAGATATCCTGCTCCCCCAATACCTAAGTTACCCACATTCACTTGTTACCACAACTACATGATGGGAATTTGAGAATGAGTGTAGTGGTACTGTAGTTTTATGCTGCCTTCATTATGAGTTGTATTAATCAGAGGCATCCCTCTATACAGAGAACACATGGATGATTGCATCTGTGTGTTGCAGCTCCTTCATAATCCTGTCCTGTCACATTTGGGGTTCAAGTGGTACTACTTGAACTGCAGTACAGAAAAATTAGATCAAGGGCCTGACTGTACTCTCTGGCAGGGGTGAGTGGCTCTCAAGCATGGCTGACTGGAATAAAATACATGTTTTGGTAAGTAAAATAGATTACCCATACTTCATGTGTATTCAGCTGCTTGCCTATAGTTCTGTTTAAACTCTTTGTGTGGTACCAGATGAGTTTCACTTATTGTGTCTGTAAACACAATGAACACTTACACAATGCATATATATTTTTATTTTTTCATTTAATTTTTAATAAACTCCTCACCATTTCATTTTCTTTACATTTCCGGCATTCAGCAGAAAGGGATGTAGAGTGGCAATACTGGTTCTCTGGGCAGTCACTTGACCCATTACACACCTCCACCTGTGAAGGTCCAAAAAAGGGCAGAAATCAGATGTATGTTATATGTACTTAAAATTTCATAAGGAGTAAATGCACATGAAACTGTGTGAAAAGTAAAACCACTACTATACCATACCACAACCTGCTGAAGTTGTTCTCTTTGGATATGGTTAAGTAGCTCCAAACCATGGTTCTATGCCATGAATTTGATACTGATATTGTTGAAAGCATCTTGAAAGCAGTACCATCTGTAGTGCAGGTTTCTCTGTACAAGTTACAGCTTTCTTACAGGATCCTCAAAGACATTTGCACTTTTCTGAAATAGGTAAAAGGAGAAGTTTGCAGCCTCTTTCAACCGTTTGACCTTTGAGTAACCCTTGAATTAATTTTCAGGTCTTGGGGAACCCCCTACTAAAACCAATTCATTGTGGGTCAGTGGATGAAATTCCCCCCTCACATTGTAGTCAGAATGCCACCCTTACAGATAGCTAAAAAGATAATTGGTGTTCTGCTTTTGAAGATACGACGCGGTGTTGGCCTTGGAACTATGCAGTCACCATCAAATGGGAGTTCAATCCGTCACAGATCAAGGAAACCCTAGCAACCTCAGGAGGAACTCAGTCTGAGAATGGCTGAGTTAGCGCTTTCTGGCAAAACAGGCAGAGAACCAGGAGGTGCTAAGCTATCAAACCACACTGTGAAAGTCGCAATTTCCTCCTGGTTGCTATTGGTATAACTTCGGTATATAGTAAGTAACCCTCATTTGGACATGGCCAGGCCATATGATTGTTTGCTGAAGACCAGGCACAGTACTGCTGAGGAGCATGCCCCTCTCCACAACTAGAAAGTGGAAATAAAGTGTGGGGTTGGGGCAGAACCAGGTGAAAGAAGTATTACGTTTGTGGCAATAGAGTGTGGTAGGTATTTGCAAAGATTAGCTGAACAGAATTACAGAATCCTTTGGCTGGTGTGCAATTAATCTCAGGATTTAGATTGGAATTCCACATTAAAAGCATAGTAAAACATTTTAAAACAATTTTAAATATCTTTAAAGAGATTCAAAAACTGTAAAAGGGAGGGCTTTTTTTCACCAGGAACGCAGGGGAACACAGGAGGAATGCAGTTCCGGCACGTCCAGCACTTAATGTATGTAACAGCAAGAGATGCTGGGGTCTGCTTGAGGGTCTATTGATGCTAGCTGCTGGGGGATTTATTATTCCTGGTGGGGGCTCTATTGGTGCTGAATGGTCAATTGTTGTTGAGGGGGTCTATTGCTGCTGGGGGATCTATTTGCTGCTGACTGCTTGGAAATCTATTGTTGCTGGTGGGGAAGTCCATTGTTGCAAAGGGTCTATTGTTGCTGGTGGGGGATCTATTGGTGCTGAGGGGTGAATTGCTGCTGAGAGGGATCTAATGTTGAGGAAGGGAGGGGTCTATTGATGCTGGCTGCTGGTGGATCTATTGTTGCTGGTGGGGGTCTATATTTGCTGGGGTGGATCTTTTATTGCAGGGGGAGTATTGTTGCTGGGAAAATCTATTGTTGCTTGGGGGAACTTTTGTTCCTGGAGGTTCTATTGTTGCCAGCTGCAAGGGATCTATTCTACTGCTTTTCTTGTTATCATTAACAAAATTCCATACAAATTACTTAGCACCACAAAAATGATACTTGGATATGTATTCTTTAAAAGGGGTGCTAATGGGGGATGGGTAAGAGGTGGAACCAGGAAACGTTGCTTGGAAGTAGGTAGGATACAGAGTCGGGGGGTAGAGAGAAAAAAGCCCTGATAAAAAGTATCAAATCTCAACAATAAAATTTTAAAGTGCGTGTCAAGCTATAAAAAATTCTTTAGATTTCAGAGCCCCTCTCAGATTTTTATGGCTATCTGTTCTTTCATAAAGAGAATTTCCCTAATTTACTGTCCTGCAGACAATGTTTTACCAGGTAGGAAGCAAGGGAATTTTCCAACATCAACACAAATAGAAATGTATTTTTTTTAGTAGATAAAAGGTAAGATTTGTATTTATATCTGTGAATCTGCTGCAGATTGCCCCTCACTTCCTGTCTGGTAAAGCCATTGCCATCAGGACAAAAAGTGAGGTGAGGAAAATGTCTCTAATGGAGCTGAGGGTGGCAGCTAAATCCTTCCTCCTCAATCTAAACTCAACGTGTAAAGGCAAAATGTTTTTCATTTTGGATAGAGTGAGGGTTATAACCCTTGTAGGTTGTTTTTTTCTTGCCAACTGTAAACCATTGGAGATATTTACCTTCACTTGTTGTCCCATAACTAAAATAGGAAGTGAGAAGGAATCCCTCCAAAGGGAGGAAATCATGGGGTGTCACCAGAACTCGTGTCCCCATTGGAAGATTTCTCCTCTATTACTGTTCTGATATCAACCCCAAATGTGGGATTTTCTTTTACTTTCAATGGTAAATGGGACAAATAGAGAGAGTGAATCTCCCTAATGACACAACATCCCTCCATCCCTCTCCACTCTATCCAACACAAAAAAAAGTCAAGTGGACTCTAGAGCAGTGGAGACGTGTTTTCTGGAGTGACAAATCACACTTATCTGTCTGGCAAACCAATAGACCTGTCTGGGTTTGGAGGTTGCCAGGAGAACCGTATTTGCCTGTCTGCATTGTGCCAAGTATAAAGTTTGGTGGAGGGGGGATTATGGTGTAGGATTGTTTTTTCGGGGGTTGGACTTAGCCCTTTAGTTCCAGTCAAAGGAACTCTTAAGACGTCAGCATACCAAGATATTTTGGACAATTTCATGCTCCCAGGTTTTTGGGAACAGTTAGGGGTTGGCCCCTTCGTTTTCAACATGATTGTGCACCAGTGCACAAAGCAAAGTCCATAAAGACATGGATGAGCGAGTTTTGGGATGGAGGAACTTGACTAACCTGAGTCCTGCCTCAACCTGATAGAATACCTTTGGGATGAATTAGAGCAGAGACTGCGAGCCAGGCCTTCTCATTCGACATCAGTGCCTGACCTCACAAATGCGTTTTTGGAAGAATGGTCAAACATTCCTATAGACACACTAAACCTTGTGGACGGTCTTCCCAGAAGAGTTGAAGCTGTTATAGCTGCAAAGGGTGGACCATCTCAATATTAAACACTACAGACTAAGACTGGGATGCCATTACAGTTCATGTGCGTGTAAAGGCAAGCTTCCCAATACTTTTGGCAATATAATGTATATGAAGGAGTAATGCTGTCCCCCTAGGATAGGAAGTGTGTCATGACTACAAAACATCTCCCTTTCTCATCTTCCTAGAAAAGGGAAGGTGTTCTGTAGTTTTATAGCTCCCAACTGTCCCTGATTTTGAGGGACTGTCCCTGACTTGGAATAAAGTCTCTCTTTCCTCCTCATTTGTCCCTCATTTTGGTCTGATCTATTTAGTTGTATATAAAATGCACTATTTATCTTGCAAAAAGTGTTGAAACCTTGCTAAACGGTGCTAAACATTTAATCCAGTTTCTAAATTGTTGCATTTGTAAATTTCAAAAGTCAGTATAAAGGAATAATAGTGGTAAAAAAAAAACACTTGTGGGTTTAACTAATTTTTTTGTATAATTCTCCTTTAAGGGGGCGTGCCCTATGCCTATATACTTTTGCTAATAGGTGTTCCTTGTTCCCATCTCAAAAGGTTGGGAGGTATGTAGCTCACAAAGGGGAACTGGGTAGGGCTGAGGGCATTGGGCGAGGTAAGAAGTACCTGCTGTACCGATAATAGTTTTCATTATCCTATGCTTTGCCTGGCTGTTTTGATCATGCAACCTTATGGCACTGTAGTGTTGGACCTTGACACTAAGCCCACCCCGACACATTCTCTTTGCCCCTGGATATGATGGACTTACCCACTGGCCAATAGAAATGTGTAGAAGGTGCGAGGGGGTAGGCAAGCTGCAGTTCAAGGAGAAAGTGGTAAAGATTTTCCAGACTAGATTGTCCAGCATTTGAACAGAGCGCAGGAGAGCTCCTACAAGTATGGCACTTCTTGATGCCGGTAATTCATATCTATCAGCAGCTTTCAGTATTAATAAATTGAAGGAGGCTCTTTAAGTATAATCAAAGCATGTAAATGTTTACATCTCATTTTATGTAAGTTTTATTAACATTTATATGTAATAAAGGTGTGGATACTAACATTTATAAGTAATAACACCACAGATCCAGGGAATATTAGATTGCCTCCTGGGGATAAGGAAGGAATTTTTCCCTTGCTGCTGGAACTAACTGGATCATGCTTCATAGGGGTTTTTTGCCTTCCTCTGGATCAGCTGTGGATATAGAATTGTGTATATGGAGGTTTTCCATTAATTTTTTTTCTGTTGGTTGAACTAGATGTAGTAGACTTGTGTCTTTTTTTCATCCTATGTGACTACGTTATCTTCATGTAAACTTGTGCTCATAAACAACAATAGCAATCACATGATCACTATCATTCCTTCCCTTTGACAAATGATCTATAGACCTGACTAAACTCCATATACATAATGATGCAGCATATGTTCCTCAGAAATATTTTTACAGATTATGAGTCATTTGTGACTCACATGACAGTGACACCTGGTAACAGTAAGAAAGAATTCTAATTGCTGGTTAGTTTCATGGATACCTAGGACTGTTTATTACTGATCTTGACATTCAATAAAATACTGTATATCATTAAATATTTACATAATTCTCTCTGCCCTAACAAATGTCTAAAGAATGTGTTATCTACTATGGAAACTAACATTCAATTTAGTGAATTACTGCCAGCATAATAGTAATATTTATCATAGTTCTTGCATACAAACTTTACAATGGTGATGTGAGAGTGGGTGATAAAAATTAGTAGGAGTTGTAAAATATTGCATAGCATTCAATGCCACGCTACAGAAAATGGGGCCAGCAGATCATTAGCATGCTTTAAAAAGAGATAATTCTACCACTTTACAAAACTCTGGTCTGGCCACATCTTAAGTATGCCGTCCAGTTCTGGTCACCAATCCTTAGGAAGGAAGTGC